GGACCATCATGTTTGTAAGAGAACACGATCTGTTATATATCTTAAATAACAATGCATAATATTTTAATGGCAGGAGTTATCGTATGGGGAAGTTTAGAAATTGTGGAACTCATTAAGGAAGTATAATTGGAACTGTGAATTATTACAAAACTTATAATGATTGAATATTAATTAATTGTAATGTAATTTCACGTAAGAGATTCAATTGAGAATCAGCTGATTGCTAATTATTGTTGGCATTACTGAAATAGATGACTTATGTAAGTTGGAAAATACCAAAGGCGTTATTAAATTGAGAGTGAGTTTAAAATATGATTTGAGAATATTGAAATGTACACGAAAAACATGATAGAAAATGAAATTGACGTGGCATTATTGAAACAATTTGGTGATGTGCATTAAACACACAGAGTATCTTGACATATAGAACATACTGAAAAAGAAGAACAAGAATAAATTGATGCAGGAGCTTGTGATGGCGTGTCATTCCACGCGTGTTCAGATAGCGGAGGTGAGCAGCTCACGAGCGCGTAGGGTCTGACCGCTCGGACGTGTCACGCGTTGAGGTCACGCGCACGGAAAGCATGTCGGCCGGCGTTGGTCACAGAGAACGACGCATTCTATCTTCGAAGATTAACTCGTGAAAGCAATCACTGTGATCAACACTGTTTGTTTTTAAATAACTGCTGGAACTTGATTTTTAAGAGAGCAATTGCATCTTGCATTAGTAAGCGAACATGAAGCTGCATTATATGCAGACATTGAGTTCAAATTATGATCATGACTGTTTACAACACTGTGTATGGAACAAACATTAGTAAGTAACACAGTACATAAGCTCGCGTGGATAAATTAAGCATTATTGCGTCACATGTAAGCAATGTTAAAGAAATGCAGTTTTTATATGGTTAATTTACTGCGGTGTTTTGCTGTATGCAAATACTACTCTGTTGACATATTAAATATGTACTGTTCACAAGCATTTTATGGTTTATTTTGGTAATGTAGCACAATTTGTAAAGAAAGCACGGTCGGGAGGCATACACGTACCCTGGATAGAGTCTGTGGCCCGACTAACTTGCCGGTTCGTTGCGTGATTTGTTAGCTTTGGCATCTGCAGGTGACTAGAACCAATGAGCGTTAATTTGAAGGCGTTAGGTTATACTGAAGTATAATTAGATAAGATATGCAAAGTCATGTAACAAATTAAGAATTGAGAATTTTCGTGAGATTTGAAAGCTAATGCAGCATTCCACATCAGTTCTAAGTCTTGCGACGCGTAGGACCGTTGGCTGTGTACGCCAGCGCTGGAGATAACATATTGCGTAACCGTGACAGAGACTTACAGAACATGATTAAACATAGAATACAATTGCCATTATAAATCGTACAAAGCTGGATTGCTGTTGCATAATAAGATTTGTATGTCATGATACAAAACAGTTGTAATTAACTGTATAGAAGCTTGCTACGACACATTTCAATATAATTTGAAACTTCCGTTTTGCCATTTTGCGAACTCAGAGCACGTCACACGCAGCGCGGATTTAGATTTTTTCAATTTTCAAAAGAGGTTATAAGAAATAAGAATTGCACCACTTTCTTACCGTTCTATAATACATACGTGGTAAAAATTTAAAGAAAAAATTTGGTGCTTTTTTGAGAAAAAAAATGTTTAAAAAAATTAAAATTGCCTATAGTTTACGCAATACCTACTATGATTAACAAAACGTATACTTAACATATTTTACGATTTGCTTTTAAAGAACAGATTTTACTCAGGAAAAAATATGTATCTTTAATATTGTAGCTGAAGCAAATAGCCCCCCAAAATAGCTTATAAATTGCAGAAATTGTAAGTGTTTATAGATTGAACGTAAAGACAAACTCATTTTTCTCGAAAATATGAAACTGGCCTTTTTAATTATCACTCATCTAATAATTGCCATTCCGCGCCTCGATTCAGCAGCTACGTTTCTGTGAATTACATTCACGGCTTGGACATGATTTAGATGTTTGAAAAACGTTGTAGTGGTAAAATTCGTGTTGATATTTGCTTGAAAATATTTCGTTTTGCACCAAATGTTTTACCATTTGTAATGAGTTTTACAAAGAAAATATGACTGAGATGTGTTAATTGGAGAGAAATCGTGGTACAATTAGTATTACATAACCATTTCTAAAGCCAAGAAAAGATTTGCTATTGTTGTTCCACTTGTTATAATTATATGGCATTCTTATGGTCCCGATTTTATTCATTTAACTGTTGCAAACCAATATCCTTCATATATGCAAAGAACACCAATGGGAGCAGGTATCAATAGCAAGTTACCGCCGAATTCTTTATTTCATTTTATTTACAACGTAAATTAGGAACGTAAGGTCTGCAGGACATACAGATAGTTTCAAGTGATAGTTGCAATATGATCTCAAGCAGCTTGTGTAATATCCGAATATTAGAAGTTTTATCCGACATGATTTAACCGTTTCACGCTCGTACTGTGTATGTAGCCACGAAATTCGTCTGTTCAAATCATCTAAAGTAATTTTAGTACACTTATTGTGCTTAACTGGTATAAGATTATGGTTCAGTTGGAAGGAGTGCGCGGAAAATAGCAATTGGTGGTTCACCAGCACCTTAACTGACAAGAGATATGCAGCAACAGTCTTTTGTCAACTTTTTTTCTCTTGTACTACATTTGTTCTCAGCTATTATACTTAATGCATAGTCGCAACTTTCTGCATATCGTATATTTTGTAAAATACGAGCTTGGCTATATGCTAGTGGTTAAGTCGGAGTGTGTGTGTGTGAGTGAGTGTATGTGTGTGTGTGTGTGTGTGTGTGTGTGAGAGAGAGAGAGAGAGAGAAAGAGAAAGAGCAGTAAATAGAAAATGGTGGTTCACCAGAACCCGGCTGAAATACGCGGGAAATTGTGTAATATTGTACCATTTTTATACGAATACAAACGTATGAGAACAACATGAAGCCCTGGAGCCAAATCAAAGAATGTTTGTTGCCCCATAGCAATTCGGCAATAAACGTTGCATAAATACACACATAGTTCCAAGATTATTATTGACTGGACCAACAATTTCCACTACAATGCACAGTATAAGTAAATCGGGAAATTAAGTGTAAAACAAACAATTTGCTCAAATTTATTAAAATATTTTCAAAATGCTCTCTTCAAAAATCTTAGTTGATATAAACATGTTCAATTTAAAGTAATAAACAAATATGAAAGAATTCAATTCATGCACTATAACGGATATAATTTACAAGTATTGTAAATTTAATAATGATTAATAAAGAACTAAGTATATTACTCTCAAAAGGGTTTTTATTCGATGTTTAATTATCAGAAAAGTTCTACACAATTAATTTCAACCTCTACGAAATTCTCAAGATGAAAATGGAATATTATGAACTGTAGTAATGTTGTAGCGTAGTCAGTTAGAGACTGCTCCGCTGACCTCTGTAGCTCAGTCGTAAGTGGTCATGCTTGGGGCCGACGAGCGACGCGGTGGAGGGCGCAAGGCTCTTGCGAAGGCGTTATGGGCAGGCGACTGCGCAGGACGGGGTCGTCAGCCCTGCAGCACGTGAGGAACGGCGCCCTTGGCGGGCACGTTCCGCCCACGGCAGCAGCGCAGCCTTGCGCGCACACGTCCTCTGGCCGCCACACCGCTCCCTGCGCACACACAGCACACTATTGAGCTCAAATTCTTATCACTTGGAACAGAATAGAGAGAACACGTCCTCTGCGCACACGCTTCCCTGCGCACACACAGCACACTTTAGCTCAAAAATCTAGAAGAAGAATCGAACAGAGTAGAGAGCACACGTCTTCTGGAAGCACGCCCTCCGCCTGCGCACGCACAGCACACATTAGCTTAAACATTTATACAAAACTGGAACATAAAGGAGAGCACACGCCCTCAGCTCATCCGCTCCCCATTTGCGCACACAGAACACACATTAGTTGAAATTCTTATTACATGGAAGAGATGAAAGAGAGCACACTACATCTGCACTCGCGCTCTCCACCTGTGCACACACATCACACAAAAGCTCAAAATTCTATTACATCGATCAGAGGAGAGAGCACACGTGCTCTGCACTTATGCATGACACATTAGCTCAAAATCATAACACATCGAATGTAGAAGAGAGCACACATGCTCTGCCCACATGCTCTCCCCCCGTGAAAACACATCATACAAAAGCTCAAATTCCATTTACATTGAACAGGGGAGAAAGCACACCTTTTTTGTGCACATGCTTCCCGTCTGGGTACATACAGCACTCATTAGCTCTAACATCTAGAAGATGAAGCCAATTGAAGATAAAGGGCACTGTGCCAGCGCACATACAGTGAATCTTAGCCTAAATGCTTGTCAGGGAATCGAAATGAGGAGGGAGAAACGTCCTCGACCCAGATGCTGTCCGCATGGGCTCACGCAGAACACTCAATCATCTACCAGAAGAATCAGAGAGAGCACACTGCCTCTCCCTACACACACCACATCACACACATCAACTCCAAAGCTAAACAGAATCGACTGGAAGAGCGTCCACTTCCGAAACCTCGTGATATAAACAGAGAATCAAACAGGACAAAATCACACGGTCTGTGCAAACACACATCACACATTTTGAAAGGGAATCAGGGCTTAGTGGAGAGAGGAGACAGCAAAAGTCGTATTCCGAGACGCACCCATAGCCTTTTTTGCTAATCTGCAACAGTTGGAACTTGCGTTTCTGAAGTATCTCTCTGTGAAGCTTAAGAAGTCATCTAAGTACGCTAATTTGCCGACTTATAGGCTTATCACAAAGAAACACGTTTATAAACGATACAAAATATTCATTGAATTAATGATCACCAACCTATAGGAAGGCTTACCGGCAGAAGACTTGGAGCTTTTTCGAAGTTTTGAGCTTGTACGAAAATTATTGATTGATTTTTGGAATTAACGACAGTTTTAGATATAACTGCAGGTAGCGGCAAATATAGCTCATTAGTGGTTGCGTGCAAGAACATAGGGACCTTTCTTCCACTGCTGTCTGTCAACAGGCCAACACCTGATACTCCCGTGTAGATATCCAGGTCTCCTTCACTGTAGGCCAACTGCCTCACAGATGATTCCATAGATTCCCAGTATCCGTCGATGAAGGTGTTCCAAAGTGGGACCTGGCGATTAAAAGAAACAGAATACGAAATAAATGTATGTATTAATGGTATTAATGTTAGTGTTCCCAATAATGTCACTAATCCTGATGAGAAAAGTCTCGCAATAATCAGTAACAATTTTTAAAATTTGCATAAAATACACTTGAGTTTTAAATGCATTTACTGAGTTTCATATGATTAATACCGGTTCTTACTAGTTTCAGCTGCTACAATGGATTTTCGATTTTTCTAATAACTAAAATCTAACAAAATTTAACGATAAAATTTCACAAAACAACTCAGCAGTATTTACAGCACGATACATAAAATGATTTAATTATGCTAAAATTATGGAATATGGATGGTGTCGAACATTCTAGAAGCTCGCAATATCGTCACAGACAGACGGTCAGGATACAAATCTTTTGAAAAAAATTACTCCGTCAAAACTATATACTATACTATTCCGATATACCAGTCCGTGTATATCCGAAAAAAATACCGGCATTTTTCAGTATTACATCAGTTTGTTTATACTACAACTGAAATTAAAAACAGTCATTGCATTCAAAACATCTTCATTGCAAATAACTTTATTCACTTACCGTATTGAAATAAAAATATGCAGTTGATTGCAATGGACTGAACACAAAATCGTCTCCAGGTACCATCTGCAGTGGCTTCAAATAATTCTCAGGGTTTATATATATGTTTGCACTTTCAGCGTCCAGTTGCAGTGTGAACGATTCAATCTGGTTTGTTAGGAGGTAATCTACAAATTGAAATCATTGTTTAAACCAAGGACTTGTATCTCGTTACATTTACATACTGACTAATATTTGACATTTAACAAGTTTTGTTACTTGCAAAAGAATTCGATTTAAAATAATTGAGGCAAAAAAATGCTTAGAGACGATTCGTTTCAACTAGTTCTACGAATAATAGTCAATGTTTAGCGTTCGGCTTCGTACGCTATGCAAGTGAAAAGGGACTACGTAGGTAACTCAAAATGTCATCTAATAGATTTCCTAGTACATGTAATTCAAGGATGTCTGAGCGTTTATTTATTAAAAATCTACTTTGTATACTCCATGTGATCAAAAGAATCCGGACATGTCCAAAATGGTGTTATGGTGTAGTCGTATTTTCGTGTTTTAAATGAAGGTGGCTTGCACCCCCTTCTTTTGTGTGGCACTATCACGGCACAGGCCTACTTTGATGTTTTAAACACCTTCTTACTTCCCACTGTTGAAGAGCAATTCGGGGATGCGATTGCATCTTTCAACACGATCAAGCACACGCCATTCATTAAAATTTTGAAACCCTTCCAGGGATTTCATGTTACATTTCCCTCAAAATTAAAATATCTGTTTCCGGTTCATGTGGTGGCGACATCAGCCGGATTGCTTGGGGGATTTCAATTTTGGATAAAATCGGCTAAATCGGTTTGACGACCAGTGTTAATCAGAGTCGGAGAGTCGTTTTGCCGTGAATCTATTTTTCGGTATCAAGGACCCACAAAACATGGATTCGGGCTACATCACATGTTAGAGAATATTTTTTTCTAAATTTAGCTACTAAATTTATCCACTTTTTTTAACTGTGGTACTTTATTCTTCGGAAAATTTGCAGTTTTTCGCGCAGTATTACATAACTTTCTCTCTGCTGCATAAGCAGGAGTAAGAGAATACAATATGCAATGAAATACCTGAAGCTGGCTCAATAGGCAACAAGTAGGCGCTGTATTTTTTACTGCCAGTTCTTCGTTTTCCTGACAAGACTAAATGTCTTGTGTTTACAGGATTCAACATGACAGGGTCGTAGCACACTTCATACAATTTCAGGAATACAGATAAGGGAGGAGGAATAGTGTAACCCACTTCGATGATAGTTGTATTTGATCCACATGTTCCTGGCGACTTAAGAATTAACACGTCTGTTTCTGGTGGAGAGTAGCACGATACCTGTGATTTAACAGTAAATTAGTATTATTATTATTGATCCACATTTCTTCTTATCTCATTATTATTATTATTATTATTATTATTATTATTATT